ACACGTGAAATTTGACGTAACTCTGCAACCAGAGCAGCTGGAGTGCTGAAACTTTCTGAGCGCTATCCAGGGCCCTGTTTGAGTAACCGCAAGCGAAGAAAGCATTCACATTGCCACTCACGTACGAACACGTGAAATTTAGCGTAACTGCAACCAGAGCAGCTTGAGCACTGAAGCTTTTTGAGCACCATTTAGGGCCGTCTTCAAGTAACCGCAAGCGATGAAAGCACTCACGTTGCTGCTTACGTACGAACACGCGAAATTTGGCGTAACTCCGCAACCGAAGAGTCCAGAGCGCTGAATTTTTTGAGCATGGATTGGGAGACATTGCAATAATTTCTAACAGTCATGGTGGCCAGTCCCAATTCTTTTAGCTAGAAGCATCTCCCAGGAAGAAAGTGCCACTAGCGAAAAAAGTCTGCGGGGGAACTGTGTAAAAAACGCATCCTCGTACCGGCAGCCGGTACGCTTTCGACTCAATTGCGTTTGCATATAAGCAAAAACACATAATGAAATGTGCGGTTTCGAAATGTCTAACGAAGAAATAAAATTTGTTGTGCAAGCTGATGACTTTACAGACAGCCAGTGAATAGCTCATCGCAGTAAGTGGTACCTCTGAGAACTCGAGCCAGTAAACTGGTATATGTACGTAGCAATGTGGCGGTTGGTAACTGCAGTTAAAAAGCTGAGCTGACAAAAATTTGGGGTAACTGCGCTGGGCACAGTATTCACATATTAACATCATGCGCTGATTTCGTCACTTACCACTGTTTGATCAGATTTCGGCGGTGTAAGCACTTCAAACTGTCGGCCAAATAAGCACATAATAAAAAACGCGTGTACGGCTAAATAAACGAACTGAAAAACAGGAAATTTTAGCAGGTCCTTTCATTTGAAACTAATTTTTTGTATGCCAGTACAGGCTCTCAAGTTAGGACGATTCTTCCTTTCAGATGGATTTTGCAAAATAATGCCAGAATAGTGAAGAACTAAAACTTCACCATTCAGACGTACCATCGTTTACAAATTATACCCTAGTTTACTTAATGATTAGAATGCAAAGACACTCGAAACAAAAACAAGCTAAAGAAACAGATTTTAGGATTTTTTTTTAACACACAGTAACTTTTATGTTACAAAAACAAGTATATGCTAGGAAACTAAAGTCATAAACCAAAACTCAAGATTTTTCGTATTTACTCCCCATAAAAGACTGGAACGGCCGGAAGTGGTTCGAACGGTGACACAAAGGGTGAAAGCCAATGAACGCAGATCAAAAATCCACAATAAAAAAGCATCCCGACGGTTACCTGTGGATAGGCAAGCGGTATCTGCACCCAGTCATAATTGCACACCAGTTGCATTGAATTCTGGAACTTGCGCAGCTCCTAAAACTGGTTCTTATTATGTGATTTTCTATGAAACTGCTAACCTTGCTACGCGGCATGGCATCTACACCTAAATTTTTATTTCGACGCTACCGCTCAAAAAAAGAAACTTCACAGTCTCTTATGTCATTAGCCAGCGAATGTGATACAGTTTTCAAAACAATCCTTTTCATACAAATATATGAGGAATCAAATACGCCTGGGATGCTATCCGCTACTCTGCACATCAGTAAGGAGACAGTTACAGGAATGAAGGGCACTTCAGTGTGCATGCACAGGGAATAATCTCCAGGACTCCCCATAGAAAGTTTAATCTGTATGAACAGTAGTTATATAGATGCTACAATCCTGAATGAATATTAAGATAACATCGAATAATTTGGCAGTCCAAATGTCGGTTTTTATTTTGCCGTCTTTGCGAGCTTGCATCACCAGAGAAAATGCCCAGTTCAATGGTGCCCAGTAGCGGCCACTATTGTAATCTTCTTGTAGCTGGTAGTCCTTGAATTTATCATATTCTTCTTTAGTCATATAACCTAAAATTATACATCTGATTCAATTCTCTTTTGACAAATTTGTTTTCATTCAGTGCTAAAACAGAAATTACAAAATATGCCAAACTAAGTAAGTTGCGAAATTTTTAAAAAACTAAAAAATCCAAAGAAAAGACTATTCCTAGATAAAATATTCAATCAGATATGTGAGATCATTCCCAAATCAGATAATTGGAAAGGAAAGATGCTGAAAATGACTTGGTTTAGATAAAAATTGTTGCGTAACGCGTACTATTTCCATGCTCGGTGATATGTTACCAACGCCTGCAAGTCGACAGACCTTGTCATCATATCTTAATCTAGTGACTTCGTCGTACTCAAAATCATTAAAGTCTCATAAACGGTGTCTAACACTTGATTTCGAGGATAAATAAAACTAGTCCTCACTCAGCCACCTGTGCATGCTCGACGCAATTCAGCCAAGTTGTGACATATTTCTCCTCGTAGGCTTCCAATCTATCTGTATATCATCAAGGCATATCCACCGATAATTTTGTACTGCAGCCAAAATGCGCACATCCAAAGGTGCATTGTCATTTTATGTTTAAAAATTTTGTCACAAAAGTTGTCGAAGTACTAAGTGATAATTGTAACAAATGGGCTAAGGGACTGCCTGCTTTAATGACGCTCTCGTATGTCGGAAATCGCTGCCTCACACGAATGCTGATATCACGGAGAACCAAAACTTGCGTCAAACATAGATAGCGAGCCATAGTACGACGCAGCATCCTAGTTTCCTCGTCCTCGCCAAGGATAATGTTGGTGATGAGAATTGTTGGGCTTAACAGTATTGTTATATGGTGCATCCAAGCTTTAAATTTCCGCTTTCTTTTTTGAGATAAAGCTAAACTGTCTCCCATAAAAGCAAAAAAGTAATACGGCAAGTATTATTCTGGAATGATTCACCAAATTCGGTGTGAATGCAAAGGTCTGAATATCTGGCTAGCATTTTTTTACTGCCTGCTCTTTTTGCCTCACTCAGCAAAAGTTCGAGGGGAAAGATCATTGCTACTACTGCAGACGGAAAAAGCTTACTCTTCAATGCGAGCCATGTTCTGGAAAGCGTCTGTCCAACGTTTTACAATAATGTTGACAAAAAATCCCAATATAAATTGTAGTGGAATGAATTTTACCCGTTCGTTTATATTTAGTGCGAATTTTTGAAATCTTCTAAAAAACAACATTAAATAAATGACAGTTATTACATTAAATGGCGATATTTGTGTAGACTTTTATTCACGTAAATCAACTGCGATGAGCACCAGGCTGGCAGGTGCGACCACGTATTTTTGGACGATTTCGTGCTGTAGCAAGACTTACTTTTACAAAAACGAGCCGTGCAGAACGATAAAAGGGCAGGAAAATGTACGTAACTCACCGCTGGAAATAATCAGGTGAAAAGCGATAAATATAAGCGATTATCTGATAGGACAATGTCCAAAGAACCACTTCGAATAACACCGCCTTCCAAATACTTGCTTTCCAGCGTAGCATCACCCGGAAGAAGTTTAATGGCGAAGCTTTACTGATTCTGTGATTGTATGCTATGGTCATTCTTTGTTTCTGTAATATTTTCGAACCTTCAACATGAGCCTAATCCAACAGGGAAAAATGAGAGAGTAGGGAAGAGGAAAAAATACAGCGATTCACCGTTTCTACAAAAGATAAAAAATCTAATTTTGGGGTGAAAAATTGCTTGAAAAGGGATGAGGAAATGAAACATTCATTCAAAGTGGCATTAAAATTAGAAAGAAATGCCAATTTGCGTAATTACGCGAATAAGTAAGCTTAAAAGGAAGTCCTGTAACTGATTGAAGTATAATTATGTTTAAGATAATTGGCCAACGCATGGGCTGCCCGTGCGAAGATGCGGTTTTTGCAGAGTTCCCGCAGTTTTTGTCGCTACCGGCATCGGTTTTATCGATAGATGCTTCTAGCTGAAAGAATTTCAGACTGGCCGCCAGAACTGTCAGGAAACATCCCCACAAAAT